AGTCACCTTAATTGTCTGATGTATCTTTTTGCGTTGCGTGTTTGAAGTTAAAATCAACTGTACTGTATGTTGTCATGAGTAAACCAAGACAAGAAAAAATCTGATTTGGTTTGACTTGAATTGTGATGCTGTTTTGGCCTGCAGATTACCCTGGGTTTCCGTAAGATGCCATTGCCTCTGTGCAGCCGCCTTGTTGATGGTGTTAGCCAGAGTGAGGAGGATTCATTTGTTCAGGGGATTTCATGCAAAACGAAGATGAAGCAAGGAGCTGCAAGCTACCAGGCAGTGTCTTGGGTTGTCTTCTACAAAATCCTGAAGAGATGAATTTTAATATCCTGTGATGCCATTTGCAGTGATTTTTGTGGGGAAGGAAAATGCTATATAATGGACTGTGTTGAACTTGCTGTGTTGAATCCAGTGGGTGCTTGCTGGTTCTGTAGCTAGCTCATACCTCTCTTCTTGGAGCAGAAAAGGAGCTATTTTTCTCTGAAATGAAAAGCTGTATTAAAGCAGCTCTGCGGAGGCTGAAAACTGTCCTCCCAACCATCATTCCACCCTGGGACGAGTAATTTCTGGGCTTAAAAATTCACTTGCAGCATTGCTACCTTTGAATCATTTGTTCACTTAAAAATTTTAATTCTTGCCCTAGTTTGAGTGTAGTGAGCGCTTTCCTTGGATTCCTGAGACTTTGGGAGTGTTGTTAATAACATTGTGTTGTTTTCTTTGTGGCAGTGTCAGCACAACTTTGTCAAGGAGAAAAACCACATTGGCAGCTAACAGGTTGTACTTGAGCAGTTACATTACGTTCCGTTTCAGTTAGCACATCAAGAATCCCAAAACCTTACAGTGCAGGGAAAAGAGGAGGTTCGGCCAAAGCTCAGAGCCCTCTCTGAACAAGTTTTTTGGGTTTTGTCTCTCCAAAACGCAAGCATTCTGATGAGTTTGACTAAATTCTCAAGCACATAAGTACATTTGAGGCCTTTTTAGTTTCGCGTTTGCATATGGGAGTCAGCTTGAGAGCTGAGATGCCAGATCTGCTTGTTACGATCCAGTTTGGTGCCTGCATATTCCTGGAAGTTGTTTGGTTTTGAGAGGGTCAAGACCGGTGTGCAAACAATTCACAAAGGTGGAAAAGCTGTGCCTAGAAATATTGGCTAGGTATGGAATTGCAAATGGCTGGGCATGCTTTCAGTGTGTGAACCGTTCCAGCTAAAACTTGGGAACCACCTCGTGTGGCTCTTCAGTGGTGGCTCTTCTCCATTTCCATGGGAACAGATGGACTTTTGTTGATAAGAGATCTGTTATCAAACTAGGAAACTAATGGGCAGCAGTTGAGCCACCATTACCGTAAAACAGGGCTGACTACAGACTGAGGACATCACATGGCAGTATGTGTTCAAGTGTAGTGGCTAAAAATATCCTTCCTTCTTCCTCCTCTCAGGCACAGATGCCCCAGTGTGAAAGGAAGACTTGGTTAGATCTATAGCAGACATGGGCATTGGCTGCAAAGGAATGCTTTATGTTTTGACCTATACAAAGAGCAGTTTTTAACAGTTGTTGTGATAAATGTGTGTTTGTGCCTTTTAAATTTTTTTGCAGGCTCTGAAGGCTCTCTCAGTTTGGAGCAGTGAATCTTTTAAGTTTCGTCTTGTTGCTTAATTTATTCTGTATTTGTTTGTACTTGGGGAAATTTTTCAGCACAGAATCTAGTGATACACGCAGTACTTAGACTAAATTTGATAGCTTTGGTAAGCCCGGGGAAAATCTTACTGTAGTTCAGTTAAGAATCTGTACTTTTCTTAGAGGCATAGCACTGATTTTTAAGTATCCAGATGATACATTTTATTCTCAATTATTATCTGGAAGTCACTTGGAGGCCTGTTGGAGATATGAGATAGATGGATTTACTGGATGCTTTTCTTAAAATGTTTGGCAGCAAAATGGTTTAATTACTTAAAGTCAGTTCTTTCATTTCAGTGTGTTTACATCTTAAAAGAGAGTAATGTCAGATGTAAACGTCAAAACCGGATACACCAGTGCAGAGAATTCTTACGTGTGTTCCCGACTGACTTTTCAGACGTTAGTGGCATAATTGTTTTTTGAAAGCCGAAATTTTACATGACTATTCTGTAGTTCTCATAATAATAGCTACATAAGTTCATGGCAGCCTCCAGAATTCCAGCCTTGCGCGCGTGACTGCAAAGTTGTCCTGAATTTAAGGTACTTCAGTATAAGCCGTTTTTGCTTGACTAACAGTTGGGAGCAGCTCCGGCAGTGTCTGGAAAAAATGATTTTGTAGATATCTGTGCTGTGGAGGTGACTCCTCTTGAAATATGTGAACATGGAGCTTTGTAAAGAAAACAGTACATTCCATTGCCTCTGGAAGAGTGCACACTGAAAGACCCAGAGAGGGGAAAACAGGGGTGTTTACAGGGTGGATAAGTTCTCTGGTATATAATACAGGGCACGGATAGTTTGGCTGTCTGCCAGGGTGCGAATGGAGCTGTGACAGCTAGTTAAAATGGTCCTGGAGAGGACAACCGGCTGTGAAGATACGTCAGTCTGGGTGTGAAGCAGGAAAAAGCCCTTGGAGCAAACAAAGCCGCTGAAGGGAGGGAGCTGCGGAGGGTTCGTTAGTACAGCAGAAGTCCCCTGAACAGGTTGTACATGCGTACGTGTGGGCAGTTCACCTTACTATGCTTTTATCCAGCTTTTTTTTGTCTCCTGGTCACAAAGCTTAATGCATGCCTCAGCAATGCTCCCTCGCTGGCATTTGGCTTCAGGCCAAGCGTTAACGAGTACCCCAAGCCCGATGTGATTTGGCTCGTTCAAATCTATTAGCATATCTTCAGAGCAAGATAAAACTCATTAAAATCATTTACATTTGGGCATTAGAATTTCTGATAATTTTTAATACCTACTGCCAAAAGCACAAATATGTGGTCATGTCCTTCATGTGAAGCTACGATTTACCTTTTTTTTTTGTATAATCCTTGGAAAAAGAACAGACTGCCATATCCCTTAACTGCTCTCTGATGGTAATTAAATCAGTTTGTAGCCGACAATCTTATCAAAGGTTTGATCTGTGCTGTCTTTGATAAAGGGATGCACACTACTGCATAAGATTTGGCTTGTTAGAAATCACATCACAATGTGTCACGTTTGTGTTCTGTTGTGTTGTAAATGGCTCTAGTGATGGCGGCTGAAGTATATAACCACCAAACTTCTGGTCATCCAAGCCGTGTGCCAAAATCTTTGTATGACCGAGTTGTAGATCTGGGCTTCAGCCTGTGCCCTCTGTCTCCCTAGTCTCTATCAATTCACTTTTCTACATACCTGTTGTTAATTCCCTGCTCAGTGTCTCAGAGCTGCCAGCTGGTGCCATCTACCTGTATTTCGCATTCTGGAGTTGAACCGGTTTCTGCACAGAGCGCTGTCCCGTGGTCCGTACGGTGGTTATGAGAGATGTGCACTGTTTTCCTGCTCAAAGGCAATTCAGCAGACATCAGCTGATCCGTGTCAGCCCTCCATGTGCCAGCTTACCTCGGAGCCTGTTCAACTGCTCGTGACCTGTGGTCAGGTTGTCCTTGCTGAGCGACCAAACTGTAATGCATGCTAGAACAATGCTTGTAAATAAATAAATAGCAGCCCACAGTACTAACTGCACAAACGATAGCTTCAATGTTTATAACCGTATGAAAGTACTTAGGATCTTTTAAGTATTAAAGTCTCTCCAACTGAAAATATCCTGAATGGGGCCATAAAGGGTGCGTATTTTTGCTCCCCTAAAGTTCTGTAGATGTGGCTCTACTACGGTTTGAGTTCCCTGGCAGCTGGGGAATGTGCATCCTGCCATTAGCCTCTTTGGGAGTTAAGGAACAGGCAGGTAACCATTACCCACCATAATTCACTGAGGAGATTCAGATTCTCTTCTCATTTTACTTTACTGGATTTCACTTCAGTAGATGTTGAGGTTTCTCTTTTATATGTAATAGCAATGAGGCAGATCAGGGTGTTAATGTATTTTTGAAAGGCAGCAAACATTGGTCTTCAGAGTTTCATTTTCTGAAGCACTCCCATCATCATCTATAAGAATTTTAAGGCCTACACTTGCAAATTCTTGTCTGCTTTTCCTTTTACATTTATTTATTTCCTCTCATCACCCTTCCAAAAAAAGAAACATAGTGATTACATAAAAAAAAAAATTAAAAGTCAGAAATGGCAATAATTGCTTATGAGGATTTTAGTTTTTTGGTGGGTCTCTTCACCATAACTGCATGTGTTTGTAGTATCTGATCTCTGTATCTGCGCTCATGTTGTCTTTCTCTCGTTTCCTCATGTTCCCACATTCAGGCAAGTCACTCTTTCTGCTGTCCGATTTAACCTGGTTTTAACTTGTATCAGCAAAGCCAGCTGAAGCTGCCAGTTGTTCCTGCAGTTGGGCCCGTGCTAATGTTGTCATGAGGGAGATTTTTTGTAAAATTCTCTGATATAGGTGTTGCCTAGAATCTTTAACATATCCAGTGTGCAAGTAGTGCAAATACAGAAAAGCTGGATGGAATCATGTTTGTGCTGAAAGCATCAGGTTTGTCAGCTGAATTCAGGAAAAGGTGGTCATTAGAAGTGATAAAGAATCAGAATTTCTCAGCTTGCAGATTTTGGATAGAATTTTTTGGTGATGACAGCCACCTTAATCTTTGGCATGGATCTCTTACTTACGTTGTTAAAAGTACCTGTGGACTTAGAGTGACTTTCTTACTCCAGTGTGGGGTTTGGGCGCTAAAATCCTTTGGCTGTTTCAAATTACTTGTCCAGCTTTTCGTTCACCACAGTTCTGAACGCTCCTGAGATGCAGTGGAGCAGGATGACACACCATTTTTTATAGGTTCATCTTACAAGAGCAGCCTTTGAAACAAGAGTGGGAAGAATAAGCTAGAACCGTCATCAGTTTTGCTGTATCTTGAAATACACTAAGCTTATTTTTTGTTTGCTTCCTTCAGGTTTTGAATGAAGAATGCGATCAGAATTGGTACAAGGCAGAACTCAATGGAAAAGACGGCTTCATTCCCAAGAACTACATAGAAATGAAACCACATCCGTAAGTAGAACTCTGGTGACAGGCTCTCTTGATCTTTCTTTTGCACAGGAAGAAAGGTTTTCTGCTGAATACTTTGCAAAGGGTACCTTACCAGATCTACCAAAATGTATGGATAGATAAAGGATGTCTATTGAGTTGTATCTCTGACTTTAATGTTTACTGTAACTCATTTCACAGCTAGCTATATAGCAGGATATTTTTGGAAGCTTTTCTGGTGGTTGCTCTGGTATTCTGCTGTAGGGTCAGACAGACTTGGGGGTAGCAGGTGTAAACCAGCAGAAAGCTCTTCAGTAGGGAGTTGTCACCACCACTGCTCCAGAAAAAAGAGTGACTGTGCTCCTGTGATGATTCTCTATTTTACGTAGCAGATAAGAGTAAAAATTATGGCATTCAGAGCTCACCAGAAAAATATGTAAAGGTATTTGGAACTGTACTCTTAGTATGTCACATCCTGAGTATAGAATCACAGAGTAATTTAGGTCAGACAGGACTTCTAACATTCCTCTGCAGTAAAACCTGTGATCAGAGTTTTTACAAGAAGCTGTAGCGTTTCAGTTGCCCACAAAAACTGATGATTGATTTGTTAATTGTTGGCTGTAATTATATTATGAAGATATTGCAGTTAAATCCAATCCAGATCTATTTTTCTCAGGGCTCTTTTGAAATAGCAGAAGGAAGCTTCTGAGAGACTGTGTCCCAAGAAGGAGAGGAGGTACACTGCTTTAGTGCAGCGAAGTGGGAAGTGAAGCAAGGATGAACAAGAAAATTCTGAAATTGTTTAAAGTCTTGTCTGCTGTAGTAACATGTCTGGTTTACCTTGATCGTGTTAGTCCACTGGGGATCACAAATGTACATTGCAATTTCTCTCTCATTGATTTGAATCATCCTGTGTCTTCTCGTGGCAGTTTTGCAGGCGTTTAATTTGTAGTGTGGTAATGTCTCCTGTGATGATGATCAGTTCTGGAATCATCCATGGTGTTTTGTTCTAGAGGGATAGAGCTGTCAGTGTTCCACTTTTTGATACCAAAAGGGAATGAACAATATCTGCGCCTGCAGTGGGTGAATTTGGTAGTGGTTTTAAGCATAGTTAATGTCACCTTTTCTGAAGATGTTCAAACTGCTGATGGCAGCTGAATGGAGTTAACTCCATGTCTCAGCAATGCTGGGAATCCTAACTGGTGCATTAACAACCTTGGGAAATTACGCAAAAGTTTTTATAGCCTGATGTTTGCTTGGCTCTAAGGCAGAGCTCTCTAAGTAGTCATACAGGTCATAAAAAAAGCAAATTGCAGACAGCTGACCAGGTGTGAGAAAGAGAATATTCCTTTTCTCAGACTAGTATCAAATCATGTTGTAGGAAGGTGGCACAAGAGCTTTCAAGAGGATTTGGAAAGAAAGCAACTGAAAATGGCTTTAAATTCTGTCCTAGGAGCTGAGACTTAAATCCTCCAGCACTACAGCTAGTCTTAAGTGCAGTATTTCGGTTGCTTGTGTTTTGCAAATCTTAGTTTGCTTTGTGAATACCAGAAAATGAAGCTCAAAGGAAAATGTGGCACCTCTTGGTCACCAGCTGAGTCACTTGGGTTCTGAAGGGTTAATCTGAGTTGTCACATCAATTAACAAAGAGAAGATACAAGCAGACATAGCCATGATACTGGGAGAAGAGCCAGGAAACTGGGCAGGGAGGCTTCCTGTGAGGGCACAGCACAGTTCAGTGGCAGGTTTACCTTTCTCCCTTTAAGGAGGCAGGGGAAGAATTTGGCGTTTATGAAACAGCCTGGATTGGGCTTATGGTGTTTGTATCTCAAGTTTTGTGTTCATAATCAGCTTGCCTTGAAGGTATTGCTGGAGCCTCACTTTGCAGTACTGTAACTTACGTGGAAGAAATGGGCCAAGCTAAGTGGTGGTGCCAAGTAAAGCCAAAGGAATTGCCAAACTGTGGATTGAAATGAGTGTGAACGCAATGTGAACTTGCGTTGTACCAGCATATCCCCTTTAGCTGTGCACATCAGCAGTAATGCCTGGGTTTGGTTTTGAGTGCTGACTGGGTGAGTTTCACTTACGTTTCAGAGCTATTTGGTGACAAGTGTTATCAAGCTTAACCCTTCAGCAGGGAAGCTGTGGGAATGTTGTCAGGTTTTTTGGCCTAATTCTCTTGGACATGCTGTGATTTTTGTTAATTTTTTCAGTCATTCTGTAGCCAAGATTCATATATGCACAACAGTTGTGATGCTTTACAAGTGCATTCTTAAGTAGACACTAGTCCTTCAAAATTGCTTTCTTTCTTTCATCTATGGGGTTTTCTTTTCATCTTTTTTAGATTTAGAATTCAAGCCCCTTTTACTCTGAATGGCTAAAGTGGTAGTGAAGACATAAAACTGCAAGGGAGTTCATGAATTGTGAAAGATTTTTACTCTATTTAAAGTAAATGGCCTTAGAAACAGCTGACAGAAAATTTCATCTTGTTACTTTGGAAGTGTTACTTCCTTTAATCAAATTGTATGCTTACACTTTGTAGTGGTTCAGTAAAATTTAGGGGAAAAAATAGAGTATACTTCTGAGGCTTTGGGAAGGGTTATGGAAGTCCTGTTAAGCTCTTTCAGGCTTTCCTTCTATTTTACAGAGATGAGTGAGGTCCTTTCGTTTTTATAAGATGAGGCTTTCATTTCCACGTCACATGCGAGTGATAATTATTTGAGTACTAAACAGAATTAAAACACTTTGTAAAGAAGAACTATGGCAAGATACCTAAAATCATAATACAAAGCTTGCTTTATGGAACATTTGGCAGAGGCAAAATTCGAGACTTCTTTGTTTCTGACAGTGTTGCCAAAAGCCCAGGAAACAAAATACTATTTTTGAATTCTGAAGGAGTTTCACATATGGTTTCTACCGGTTGATTTTTGAAGGCAAACAACACAGACAGGTAGACGTTCCGTCTGCTGTCTCTGCCACCACCTCAGGTACCAAGAAGCAGTGCAGATGCTGATCCACCAGGAAAGTACTAAATGCCATGAAGTTCTTTGTCACTGGAAATAGGATGGTTGTGGGAGAGAGCTCATCGTTTCCATTCCAGGGGATAAAAAGAACACAACAAGACTTGCAAGCCCATAAAACATGGCTAGGTGATCATGGAAACAGAGTTTGTAAACAAGATGTATCATTTTCAGTGCCAAAATACTTTTCATAATGGAGCTGCATAGCTAAATGGAGTGAACATTCCTTTTACAAGGGGAATGTCTTAGAGTTGATTTACTGAACATGTTGCATATAGTAGAAATACATCTGTGGACTCATCATCCTTGATATAATATAGGGATTTGGTTTTGTGTAGGCTGCTCAGGTGAGCAGATCCTGAAGACAGCCAGTGAGAGGAGCGAGGGCTGCCAGTAGCTGGATAGTCTGATAATCAAGTGATTGGGTCCTCCTTCGCCTCTAGAGGTAGCTTCCTCTTAGAGAGGAAGATCCGGTGACTTTGTGATTTCATGAAAGCTTCAACTTCTCTTAAGAATGACTCTGTTTCAGGGAGGGTTCTGCAACTTCCATCTTTTTGCTGCACCAAAACCCTCATTGTAGAAAGTGAACTTTGTGAGTGGAGCTCTTGTTGTTAACTGCCATCCTCTAAGGTCAGAGATCTGCGTGGTTACAGGCTGTGGTAAGTGCTTCTGTCCTGTGTGATCTGGAAGTCAGAACTGAAAGCTGTACTTCTGGTGGTGAGGATGGTTCTGCTTTTCCCATGCCATGTGACCTACCACTGAGCCCTTGTTTGCCTTTCATCTTGGATTAGTCTGGAAAGGCAAATGTAACTGTGGGTAAGAATCCTGTGACCAAGGGCTGTTGGTCAGTGCTGATGGTCTGGTTGCCTGAGGTAGGTTCACCCTTGGTGTCATGGAGGTTGTCAGCCCACTGGCTTTGACGTCTGCACAGCTGTCAAGAATTTCAGATGTGGCTTGGTGGTGGAACTATTTCATATGACTGCTTATGTGGAAGCTGCTAGATTGTCCTGACTGTAGGAGAAAGCAAGAAAATAGGCTCCTGAAAGAGGTGTTGTCGGGATCTTGCCTACAACAGAACGCCATGCCCGGCTCGGTGCTCCTCTGCAAAGGAAGCGGAGAGTCTTTGAGGGAACTTTTCTCACTTGTTCTGCATGGAACTCCACTCCTGGCGCCTGCCTTAGCTTTCTGTTATATCATGCCTGTCTTTTACCACAGTGCTCTGGTAGGGATAAAAGAATTGGACTCTGGGCTGCAGGAACAACCAGCTGCTGAATGAAACTACTAATTCTCTCTGCAGAAGTAATCGTGTCTTACCACCTGATGTAAAAGAGACTAGAAGCTGTTTTTGATAGAAAATGCACTTTCCATTTGTGCAGGATGGGTCAATCCATAGGCAGGATCTTGTTTCTACAGCTGAGATGTTTCTGAAGAGAAACCTTGTGAGTGAACTCCCAGTGTTTCCCTTGCATTTTGCAAATTCTACTTTTTTTTTTTCAAGATTCCTACCTGCTAAAGTAGTGATGGTTTTGTGTTTAATCCTTAATAACTTAAATTTTCTATATTGTCTGCTCTGCAAATCATGACTAAGGCATGGGTGACTTCTCCTTAGGAGGCATAAGTAAGAAAGGAGACTGTGTAATTACTCCCCACTGATGATTGCTAGGTACTAACCGTGAAACAAATGCTGCTGTATCATAGCAAAGTTCAGTAGTGCCCAGCCACCAGTGCAGGACTTCTTTGTTGTCTCTGAATGGATGGCATCATACGGTTTGGACAATTAAAACTTTGCATGTAGAGACATGAGACTTTCTTCCCTAGTGACACAGGAAGGGACTTGAGTTTCTTGCTTGAGCTAGGCGTTCAGGCTGTTTGACTGCAGGTTATGAGGCCTGGCTCCCAAGGTATCAGTGCAGACCGCAGCAGACACTTCAGCTTTGCCCAAGGTTGTAACTAGTTCCCAGGGCAGTGGTCTTAGTCCCACAAAGCAGGGCTTTGCTGTGAAGTAGTTGTGCACGTTAGGTTCTCGTTGTGATGTTTTATATACTAAACTGCAGATACAGTAGAGTGCAAAACAATGTGAATAGTGCATTGAATTTTGAGCAGGGATTTTTCCAGCTCTGAAAATAAATACTGTAATTTGAGGATTTTGCTCTTACTGCATCTCTGCTTTGCTAAATTGGGTGAAACAGGGCTATTGCAAGCACCTGCTTATCAAGTCATGGTTGCTTCATTGCCAGGATGAAGCATTGTGAAAATCTGCGTGGTTCGGTAGCCTGTATTGGAGTGGCAGTGAGGTGCAGTGTAGTTGTTTCTGTTAGGAATCATTTAATCTCTGTGTGAATATCTACATCTGACTATTCCATGAAAAGATTAAATTCTTAGCTTTCCCTGTTGTTTTCTTTTCCTCACTCCACAGGTGGTTTTTTGGAAAGATTCCCCGAGCGAAGGCTGAAGAGATGTTAGGCAAACAGAGACACGATGGTGCCTTCCTCATCAGAGAGAGTGAGAGTGCTCCTGGGGACTTCTCCCTCTCAGTCAAGTAAGTAATGCCCAGAAGCAATCATGTAATCAGGCCATCTACTGCTCGTTTGGACTAGTGGGTAAAGGACAGGTGGTTGTCAATGCTGAGGAGCAGCAGTAATCTTTCAGATGCCCTATAGCGTTCCTGTTCTTCCAGTGATACTTATTTATTCCCTCCTTGATAGAACAAATATATGTGCTCTGGTTTGTGATGAGCCTACAGGGCTGACCTGGTGGGATGTTCCTGTCTGGCTCATGTAGGTCTCAGGTACTCCCTTTTGGTTTGCTTGTGGATCTCATTTGTCTCCCCAGTGTGTACGTATTCCCTCCTGTCCTCCTTCATTCTTCTTCTGCAGAACAAGTTACTACTCTATCTTCTCTCTTTGTGTAGTACACTTCCAAATATGTCTGCTTGACACATGCTTTGGGGATGTTCATGTTTAGCTCTGGGACATGGAGCTGTGAAGACAGCTGCTTCCATTTCTCACAAGTGCGTTCCATGTTGGTAGAGAAACTCAGTCTAGTAGCAGTGAAGTGAGACGGAGCAGTTCTCATTCTTGAATAACCTCACTGGAAGTACTGGCTGTTAACCAGTGGGAGTTCCTGCTAGTTAGCCATGGCCCACAGATACCATGCTACCTCTCTTACCCATCTGAACTCACCGTAAAATAGAGGTATTAGAAACTTTAAAGGGTATGTGATGTAATTTAACATGGGTTGGGAGTGATTCTGTTCTCAGCAGTTGATTTTTGCCTTTTTCTTTATTTTCTGTAATCTTCCCCTCTCCTACCAGAAATGAACAAGATTTTCTTTAGAATCCTAGCAATAATTTTTGATTCTTCTTGCACAATTTCTAGTTTGTTCTATTTTCTGTGGCTGTCAGTCATCAGCCTCAACAGGAATTTTTTTTTCTGGTCATCTTTGGTCTGTAACTAAATTTTTCTCCTCGTGTACAGCAGCACTGAGTTCTACCAACAAACTGAATTAAAGCCACTGATTTTAGAGATGTTTATATTTCCCTCTTGGATACAATCATCTGAGCTGGAACACTAGATATGAATGGAAGCTGCATTCCAGAAAGTGCATTCCTTTAAGAAACAAAGTTATGATAGCGTAGCTCTGCCTGCCTGTTAGCTTGGTGTTGCCATCTGGTGGTAATTTCTCAGGGCTTTTTTTTTGTGTGTGTTTATGTGTGTTGGTTTCATTTAGAAAAGTGTCTTTTCTGAACAGTGATCTGCAGGATTTGAAACAGTGAGAAGCTCTCAGGTTGAGGAGGGGAGAGCAGAGGCAGTACTCGCAGTACTCATGAGTTGTTTCATGTTAGCTTTGTAGCCCAGATAGTGTCGTCTTTTTCAGCCAACGTATAGAAGCTGTGCATGCCAAGTGGGGAACAGTTGTCTTCTGTTTTCAGTGTTTTAGGCTGAAGTAAAAATACCGATGTGCCATTCATCTGGAAAATCCCAATGGACCTCTTTGGAGTTCCTATTTATTTAGAATAAAATTGTTGGAAAAGTAGCTTCTACTGAATGCCATTTGTCAGAAAGAATCGTTAACACAGAATTGAAGTTGCTGCATTACATGTGCCACATCACCTTTCAATCATTTCTAGGTTTGGGGGATTTCTTGGTTTTTGTTGTGTTTGTTTTTTTTTTTTTAAGGACCAGAGAGATCTTTTTGTTTTGCAAGGCAGGCTTTTGCATAAGTCCAGACTGTCTGCCAAAAGAGGCAGCCCTACCTTTGCTGTGACAGTGTTTTCCCAGCAATGTACCTATAATGGGACTGGTGCTTATGTATTGCATTATCACACACACCCAGTGGTGCTGTGTGAGAGAAGGACTGAGATGGTGAGAAGTACGGGACCATAGCAAGAGTAGCACAAACCTAAACTGGCTCGAGTCAGCTGTGAAATCGCTGTGTGTGAAGAGCTAAACCAAAGCACTTGTACTGCTGGACTTCAAAATCTTGCATTTGGGAATGGGAAGTGGAAGGCACCATGATGCAACTGCTTTAACGTGACCTTGCGCTTGTTCTGCAATCCATGGTATGTGTCTGAGGTGTTGGGTGCGCTGTCTTCAGCGACTCAGGTGACTGCATCCATACATCAGAAAAGTACCTGTACTGGATGCCAGCTGTGTGGCAATGTAGTGTAAAATAAAAAGGTGAAACATTCATTCCATGTAACCCAGGAGAAAGTGTGGTGTGACACCAGAAATCCTTGACCAAAAGACCTCAAACTTATGCAAATTCAGAGTAGCTTGAAAAGCTGGTTTAAACTGAAGTCCTATTATAAGGAAAGCACACACGAAGCTTGCAGGACTTTTTCCATATAAATTCAGTATTTGGATTCTGTTTCTCTGATCACTGATTTCTACAAAATATAATTAACAAGTGATTTTCAGACATCTTTTTTAAAGCAAACAATTGGTATCTGTATTGTCATTGACAGTTTTCACTGTGCCCCAAAGGACCTTTTTGTTCCAAAATCTGAGCTGATAATCTCAGAAGAAGAGTACTCAGTGATTAATAATGTCCTTTTTTTGTGTTCCTCACTCCTTCCTTCCAGGTTTGGAAATGATGTGCAGCACTTCAAGGTGCTTAGAGATGGGGCTGGCAAATATTTCCTCTGGGTGGTGAAGTTCAATTCTTTGAACGAGCTGGTAGATTATCACAGATCCACATCTGTCTCCAGGAACCAACAAATATTTCTCCGGGACATTGAACAGGTGCCACAGGTAAGAGAAGTGTCTTGGTAGAGTGCGCTTTTCAGACTCTTGCAACCACAGTCTGAAGTGCAGTCACGTCCTACAGTGAATGAATAGGGATGGAGAGAAGCTGACTGATACATTCCTTGTCTGTGGAAGTGTATCTTTAGATTTCACAGCCAGAATTACACTGGGAAATAAGCTGGATATTTGTGCAAAGGCCACCTGCTAACTTCTGGCCTCCCCTTCAGTCCTGGCAAAGTGTTACTATCACTGCTTGAGCGCTTGGCTTGTCTTAACGTTCATGGATACCGTTGCAGGAGGGTCATCGGATTCCTGTGGTTTGAGATTGAGTTTACTCCTGTTCAGGACACAGTAAGAAAGGATAGTTCTACTTGTACTGGTTCATAGCCAGAACTGTACCCCTCTGTAGCCAGTGAAGCTTTGATGCTGGTCTTTCGTGAAGGGGTAGTTACAGGTAGCAGCATGTGGAACATCTCTAGCCTGCTGATTTGGATCTAGCCAGTGTTAAGAGAAAGCAAAAACCTACTGCTGAGTGCCAGCAGAGCAGCTTGAGTATTTCTAGCCCTTTGTTTTGTTCTATTTCCCAGGGCAGTCAAAATGTTATGTTGGATGTAACTGGATCTTTTGTCAATTTTGGATACAACATTTTGCCTCCATGTGCAGCACTCTAGTTCTAGCTTGAAGACAAGGGGTGTGGATCTGCCACTGCTCTCCAGATGCCAGAGGCACTTTTGGCCATAGATTGTCTGCATTAACATCTGGATCTGTGCTCTTGAGTCAGTGATAAATGGAGGATGAGAAAACAGCTGTCTGCAAATGACAAGCATGAAGATACCTTCCTAGCCTTACAATTTTAAGAATGAAAATGCCTTTAAACTAACAGTTATCTTTTCCGTAAGAACAGAAGCGTTTACTGACCAGGCAGCGTTTGCTGACCAGGCAGAGTGCTCTGCAACATAATTTCTTGATACTAGAGTTTTAGGGAAAACGTGTCCAATGCCAACATCCATTTTTAGGGAAAACTTTGTGTATTACAGTGTAATGAAAATTAGCAATGTTCATGCTGTCAGTGGGTGGAAACAGAATGGATAAGCAAGGAGACCATTGTATTGCTATAGAGCACAGATTTACGTAAGTCATGAAGACTGGAAAATACTAAGAAAACATCTGAGTCGTCTGCTATCGTTATTCCTGCTCTTTCACAGAAACTTTTCTCCTAAAGTCTTCTGTAGACTATGCTTTCCTATTCAGGCATCTTGTTACAGATGATGGAAGCTGACTTGCAGGGAGGGGAAGCAGCCCAAATGTTTATTGTTGAACTCTGGTGTTGAGCCCTGCCTGAGGGAGCAGGCGTCTCAAGTACTGTGGAGGATTCTCATGTTGCGTATCTTTTTCTTTCCCCTTTTAGCAACCGACATACGTTCAGGCCCTGTTTGATTTTGATCCCCAGGAGGAAGGAGAGCTGGGCTTCCGCCGCGGAGACTTTATCCAAGTCCTTGACAATTCTGACCCCAACTGGTGGAAGGGAGCCTGCCACGGACAGACGGGCATGTTTCCACGCAACTATGTGACCCCAGTGAACCGGAACATCTAGAGATAAATATTAGAGATTATTTAAAGAAACCAGAGAAACAGTAAATACACATACAGAGCCTAACTGCAGCCAGTGACCTAAAATCACACGGCGATAAAACCTGAGTCACCTTTCACCATGAGGTGATCCTCCTTCACTCAGTACGGAACTTCAGGGGTGGCGGGGGGGGAAAGAACTTACACACCAAAACCTATCTTTAAAAAAAAAAAAAGAGAGAAAAAAATGAAAATAACAAATTTCCTCAGCTGCTCCTGGGTTACCCCCTTTCATTCGCTCTTCTTGTTTCCCCCTCCTCCTCTGTCCATCAGTGCATGAAGTTTTAATGCCATATAAAGTCCTAGCCATGCAGTTAAAGGAAAAGGGAGAAACTCTGCTGGTATTTTCTCTCTCTGCAAACAGTCTTCATTTGACATGAAGGGACATGAGAGAAGAACCAAATCCACAGTCCTGCCTTTAAAAAAAAAAAAAAAAACACCACATCAGTCTCTGCTTTTGCCTTCAACATTCAGCTCTTCTTGCTGGGGAAAGATGAGGTGTTAATCTAATTTTTATTGTCTCTTCTCCTTTGGCACTTTCTTCTGAAGCTCAGCAGCTTCCAAGCAGGGGAAAGGAGAAGTTATGTGGCTTTTTGTTTCATTTTGTTTTTTTTTCTCAAGTCACAGAGCTGCTTTGAGAAACTCCAACCTACAACTGAAGTCTGTTAATGCTGTGCTGACAGCTTTTTTGTTTTTTCTTAAAGGTGTACGGTTGAGCACATTCTGTAATTTTTTCCATAGTGCCTTTCCCTTACTTTCTTTTTTATTGTTTTTTAAGTTAAAAGGACAGTCCAGAGCTTTTCAGAGAGTTTTTTCTGCCTATATGTAAATAAATACTTTTTGGGGGAAGGGTGTAAGGGAGGGTGGTTTTATCAATGGACATTTAAGAAAAATCTACAAACAGAGATGGAGCTTTAATCTTAAGATTTGTCTTACTGTTCAGTTTTCCTTATTCCAAGGAAAAATAAAATCAAGGCATTCAAATGGCAGCATAGGCTGCTCACAGGTGGGGAGCTGCAACCAGGAGCCTCAAAAGAAGTAAGAGAAAGGAGGAAGTTATGACCAGGGAAAATGAAGAATATTTTGGGGAGGGAGGGTTAAGGGGGGAATTTGAGAAATAATAGCCCTGAGATGTCCTATGAAATGTACATTCCTTTGATGGAAAACTTTATAATGCAGAGAAACCTCAAGAAATAGTGCTTGAAAAAACTTTATGCTGTTAGTGAATGTTTCTACATGATGCATGTAATCAGCCTGTCTCTTTGGCCTGGATAGGGAATACTCGCAGTCATGTTGCTCTTGAAAAGTGGGATTGGCATCACTGTTCTCCAGTTTCTCCTCCCTCCTCAGGTCAGTGTTGCTGTTGAAGTAGGTTCCCCCACCCCGCTCCCCATTCACAGCAGGCTGTGTGATGACTGTAGTCCCCACCCTGCACTGTCACGGCGTTTGTTGTGGCCATTTGCTCCTCCACCAGAGCAGTGGGACATGAAATTGGATGGGAAGGAAAGCAATCAAGCCACACCGCTCTCTGTGCCAATCTTCAGTTGTGTTATTTTTCCTTTTCATGGCCGTTTGGCTGGATCCCTTCACCCCACCAACGAATCCAAAAACTGCAGCGGAGATCTCCTCCCGCCCTGCCTAAGCATGGGCAATCTTTTGTTGGAGGGTGCCTTTTTTTGTACTGAGTGTTACAAATGTTTTATTCCTGAGATGGACTCTGCCTTACACTTTAATTTTCCAGCAGATGAAAGAGAGAGCTATCCTGTAGAGTATTACTTTCTCCCCCTCTCCTTGCTAGCTGTCACTCACTTTCTTCCTTCTTTGTAAAGTGATTGGAAAAGGAATCTATGGCATTCTACACCTGGACCATTTGATTGTTTCCTTATTTTGGAATTGGTGTATATCATGCAGCCTTGCAGACATATGTCTTGTGTGTGTATATATATTAAAAAAGAAAAAAAAATCAGTGTTTAAATAAAAAAGGCCTATGTACTTAATCCTTTAACTCTGCAGCAGCATTTGGTAGATAGTAATTAACTGTGAATAATAAATATACATTGAATTCTTCACTTGAGCATCTGTCTTATTTCAGTTAACTGACCGAAATACAGCTGATCGACCTAATTTGTAGGATGTTAAATTGCTCTCGGAGGGAGAAGCTGGAAGGCATGCTCTGGCCCGAAGCGCTTGGACTCTTCAGCGTGTCCGAACTAAGTACTCTTCCAAGCGAAGTCACTAGAGAACCGTGTTGCTTGGCACTTGTGTGACATTACGAGTATCGAGGAGTGGGAAGAGGAATGGGTGTCGCTCCCAGGATTGAAGACCATGTATTTGTCAGCTGAGTGGGAGGGTGGCACTTGAATATTTCTTCCCTTGTGTTTTCTGAAACTTTTTACCCAACTGCTCAAGTGGCCCAGTGGTACGGACTGTAGCGTCGTTAAGGAGCCAGTAACGGAGAACAATGCACTGGTTACTTCTGGAGCATTTTTCTGAAGGACAGAGGGGAATATGGGTGTGAGTGCAGCAGCTGTGGCTCGGACTGTCATGGGAGCTTTTGCTTTTTTCCATCAGTGCCTTGCAGATAGTTTTCACTTTTGTTGCCTGAAGAAGTGAAGCTGCTCATTGTTGAGCTAAGGATGTGTGTGGGCAGCTCTGCAGGTTACCTGTCAGAGGCTGCCAGTCTGCTCGTTCTGCACCTTCTCCCCAGGCATCGCTTACGTTCAGAAAGTGGCTGTGAATTTCGTAGTCGATGTTAATGTACTGCAGGAAAAGGTGCATGTGAAGGTTTGGGTAGTTATTGTAACAGCTGGTCTTAGTTATTGTGCTCAGTTACAGATGCAGTCAAGGAGTTTCCGGTTGCTCAGAAATGGCTGGATGTTCCGTGATTAGTTCTTTTACTTTTCATTTGTGCCAGTAAAGTCAGTACAGAAATTATTTGCAATGTGGTTTGGAGCTCTTGGCTTTTTGTAACGTTCTAACAGAATACGTTGCTTGGAATTGTGTGCTTATTCATACCTTGGGTACCTACGGAAAAGTTTGGAAAATATTCCTCTCCTTCAGCTTTGTAGAGGGAAGAAAAATGTTTGTTGCTACTGTGATTGTATAATGTCATGGCTGAGGCCATGGTGGAGGAACCACTGGGATTCATGTCTTCAGGAGTGTTTACCAGTTTGGCGTGGGGGTCAGCCAAGCTGGTGGCGGACTGCAAAAAAAATCTGAAATGCCACCTTATTTTGCAGTCAGCTGCCCGATCCACCCAAGCAGCAGCACGGGAGCTGCCGGAGC